CTCCCTCCTCCTCTCTTCCCTCCTTTTGCTTTGCTTCCCCTCTACTTTCCCCCTCTTTAGCCAAATATTTCATTAACATCCATCCTTCTACCTGCACTCTTTTGTTTGAAGATCAGAAATTCTTCACCGACTGGACCTGAGGGGAAATGGAAGCGAGAGTTCTCGCGCACCTACTGGGCCCTCCTGGGTCCTGAGAGACAAAGCTTGCTCAAGGACATTTGGGGTTTCCATTTAAAGTGCGGATATCTTCCCAAAAGGAAACCAGGTGCCGAAAACTCTTCACAAAGCCCCGATGTGATTTCTACACCGTATTTTGAAGGTTTGGGGGTGGGGGTGGGGAAACTGGTTGGTTTCGGTTAAAGCTTTAAAATTGGCCGGTCGTTGCCTACACGTCTGCCGTTTTCAAGTCAGTTGTTTCTTTCAAGATCTGAACCTTATTGTTTAGGTTGTTTTTGGAAAATGCTTAATAAATATGAATTGCAAGATAGGTAAGGAAGATAAATTCTCCTGGCCTTATTTCAAACCTTCCTAGAAGATGATGTTTCCGTCTCATTTAAAAATTGAACTAACAGTTTCTTCGATTAAGAATTATCCAGCTTCAAGCTGGGTGGTGCTAGGGACAGCTGAGGCCAGGGAAGCAGCGGCGCTTTTAATCTTAGCACTGGGAAGCAGAGGCAGGCGGATCTCTGAGTTGGAGGCCGGCCTGGTCGACCCAGAGCTAGTTCCAGGACAACCAGAGATGTGCACAGAAATCCTGCCTCCAAAAAAACCACAGCTTTTCTAAAGAAAGTGTTTTGTTTGTTTAGTTGGTTGGTTAGTTGGTTGATTTGAGTGAGTGTTTGAGCAAGTCTCCAACCTCAGGGACCCAGCCCAGGAGTGCCTTGAATGAGCAAAATTGACTTCAAACTCCTACCCCTCCCTGCTCTGCAGGCAACTCTGCACCGATGCCTCTTGAGCACCCCCACAGTCTAAGTCTGATATTCGGAGTTACTACTTTTATTTCTGTCCTACACAGAGAGATATTAGGCAGTCTTATTTGTTTACTTGATTGCTTTAATAATTTGCCCTATTCCTTAGAGAGTCACAACCTGGCAGGAAGAAACTCCTCTAAATCAGGAAGGTGAATGTGCCCTCTCCTGGTGGAGGCTACACACTGCTTGGGCTCTGAGGTGTGACAAATCTACATTGAAGATGTAGGAAAAAAATTATTTAAGCTGGTGGTGGTGGTGGTGCACGTCTTTAACTCAACACTGGAGAGGCAAAGACAGGCAGATCTCTGTGTGTTCGAGGCCAGCCTGGTCTACAGAGTGGTTCCAGGACAGCCAGGGCTACCCTTTCTGAAAAAGAGAGAGAGAGAGAGAGAGAGAGAGAGAGAGAGAGAGAGAGAGAGGAAAAAAAGAAAGAAAGAAAGAAAGAAAGAAAGAAAGGAGAAAAAGGAAGGAAGGGAGGGAGGGAGAAAAAAAGAAAGAAAAGAAGAGAAAGAGAAAAAGGAAAAAAGAAAAGAAAAAATTATTTAAGGTCTCCTCTCACTTTAATGAGTGGCAAAATTTTGTGCTACCTTATAGGATTGCTGCAGGGTTTAAATTAAAGACTATAAATGGGTTTAGTTTACTATCTAGAAAAGCATGTCGCTGCTCATGACCATTTCCCTGGCCACTAGCCTCTCCCAGTCTCCACGGGTTCCTGGAAGGTCCCGCTTTGGCAAAGCCCCACCCTGTAGATGTGATTTTTACAAACCCACTGATCTTAGATGAGCATTTCTAGTTTTACAAAATTCCCTTGTTGCCACAGCAACCTCCTCCAGATGCTTCTTCCTAGGATGCTTCTGTAAGGTTGGTGGAGGCTGAGAATTGTCCAGGGTCCAGGAGATGTTTGGGTTTCAGAGTAAACCAGTCTGCTCTGAGGGTTTGAGAACCTATGATCTCAGTCTCACTCCTGGTATTGGCAGAGTTGCAGGGAAAAAGGCATAGGCTGGCAAGGGTTTTGGACACAGGGATTTTGGACATTGGTAGTTGTAAGACAACTAACTGGTTTGCTCTCTAGACCAGCCTCCTCTTGTGAACAGGAGGGTCAAGGTCTGGCAGGTAGAGCTGGGATGCCTGGGGCATGGGCTTTGCTCAGAACATTCTAAAAACAAAACCATCTGGTTCCCCTGACCTTGTATCTTCCATTCCCTTACCTATGTGTGACCTCAACTGAGTCACTTAATTCTATTTCCTTGTGTATTTGGGGCCCATAATGAAGATGAAAGGAGATGGTGTCTTCTGAAGGGCTTTGAAGGAGGTCCAGCACACATCCTTCAGCATACCTGGTGTAGGAGGTGGTTGCTGTCCCTTAGTTCAATAGAAACCTCTCTTTGGGATAATCCTCGAGAAAGGGAGAGAGAACAGGACTCTTCAGAGACAGCAGCAGCAGGCATGGGGAGAGCTGCACTGGCATAATCTTGGGTGGCAGGATGATTCAGGTCTTCTGGCACAGGGCTTCCACCTAGGTACCAAGAATTCAGCAGCCACCCAGAGCTGACTAGCTGGAAGGTGCAGGGTAGGAAGGGACACAAACACCCTGGCCTCTGGGGATGTGGGGGTGGGCTCCAGGGAGTTCCAAGCTCAAGCCTGTGAAGAAGTCTGGGTTTCCAAGAAATGAGGCCTTAAGGATGAGAGAATAGACAGGAGGGGGGGGGGGAACGGACGGGACACGACAGACTGTGGGGGAACTGCCCACCTCCCTCTGCTATTCTGGGGGTTGTGTGTTCTCCAATCCTGTGAGGCATACCACTGCGGGTGAGTTTGGAAAGTGTTAGAGGAGAGTGTCTGAGCCCTGAGTGTGCCTGCCTGCACCTCCGGGCCCCCACTTCTCCCCTTCTTTTCCCGGGTCGCCCTAGGCAGGATCCACCATGTACTGGACCCGCCATTCCTCTTGAATTCATCAGTAAAGCGAGAGACCTTCCTGAATCACTGATGTGTGGATCAGTCCTGAACCACACTGACCATGGTCAAAGTGGAGCCCGGGAGAACATGGCCAGCTTCTCCAATGCGCACCCTGGCCTGGAAGCCTTTGGAAACGGCAACCAGACTCCTCAACCAGAGAACCTGAGCTAAGGGATTTCTGTGGTTTTCCCCAAGCCCTGTGAGTTCCCAGTCCAAGACCAGAATGGAGGCGGCGGCATGGGGTTTGCTTTTCTTCCAGTACATCCCTTCCTGTGACCTTGCTTCCAGTTGCTCAGATAGCTCATCTCAGTCAGAGTCACACTACACAGTAACAAGAGCCCGGTTGGGCGGTACTGAGAACATACTGTCTGTAAGGTATCTAAGCACCTGCTCTAGGGAGCTCCCACCTAGAGGCACCAGACTCTTGTCCACAACTGGAGTCCCTGCTGTGTTTGCCCTGGGGACTCATGAGGGAGCAGGACTTAATCAGCCTCACCAGGTATCTCTTTTTGAAGAACAAAGGCAGCTTCTACTTCCCAAATTAGCGCTGGGGTCCTGAACTGGTAATGTCACCTCTCCGCACTCTCTCCAATTAATCCTGCAAGGACAGGCAGTAGCTGGAACCTTCTGGACATTTATCTCTGTGGATAGTTTGGAAATCATAGGAGGACAGCCAGACACATGGGAAAGGAAGGCTAACCTCGACAAACAGAGGCTCCAAATAACTGTTCCCAGGGTGAAAGAGACTGACCGGCCAATCAGATCTGGTCTTCGGGCTTCCTCGGGGTATTGGCTGTCAATGCAATTTCAAAGCTGTGTTTGCTTATCAGTAAGTGGAAGGAGCATGCTCAAACCTTATTCCGACATTTTCACTAAGATTATTTCCTCTGATGTTGTGTGTAGCTCAGTAACTGAACTCTTGCCTAGCGTGCACATGTAAAAATACATCAATATTTGGGGCTCTAGATGAGATGTCATGCCTTCTGAAAGCACAGACAACCCCAGCTTTCAGCTGTATTCCACAATTTAACTTCAAGGAGTTGAATTGCCTAGGGTCTTTTCCTAAAGACACGGGCAATGAAAATATATGTTCTTTGGGGCTGGGGCTAGCCCCAGCCTAGCTTGTACCAGTTCCTGGGTTCAGTGCCCAGCACTGCAATTAAATTCACCTCATACACATGCGTTCAAGGTGTTTCTCTGCACTGTGACAAGTCAGCTCTTCAAATGTACGGCGATAATTTTGGCTAGTCCTGTGAATGAACTCTGCTCTTATCGGAGTGATTTTTTTTCCCCCTGACTTCTCTGCCAGACCTGATCGTGAGACTATGAGGTTTGAAAACATCTTATCTACAAATAGTTCCAAATCATGTTCCAAATCACTCAAGAGGTTCACACAGCTGAATACATCTGGGAAGGCTTTTTATATTACATGGAATGGTTTCCACCCTTCCTTCCTTCTTTCTTTTCTTTTCTTTTTCATTTTCGTTTTTTGAAACAGGGTCTCTCTGTGTAACCTGGAACTTACTCTGCATACCAGGCTGACCTCAAACTCACAGAGATCCACCTGCCTCTGCCTCCCGAGTGCTGGGATTAGAGGTGTGTGCCACAACTATCAGCCATGAAACCGTTTCTACTTCAGGAAAAAATAAATAAATAAATACACAAAAGGTATCACCAAAAATTGAAAATGTGAAGAGCGTATATTTATTGGATTCATTATAATAAATGCATACATTCTTTATTTGGACTTAAGGTTGCAAGAGTAAGTTTCTAATGGGGAAATGCAATGCCCCCTCCATGTGAGTGGGCTCCTCCACAAAGGCATAACCAAACACCGAGGCAAAGGCATCT